TAGCGATGGAAAGAAGATTAGTCTGGAACTCTGCTATCAATTCACCAGAGGACAGCTGGTTATCTCTTTTGACCTCAGCTTCCTCATCTGCAAAATAACAAAATCAGAGGAGAGGATCTCTAAGGCCTCTCTCTGTTCTATAACATCCATATGTTAAAATATCCTCCAGCTCTATGACCTTCTATACTCTAAGGTTCCTTCCAGCCTTAACATTTTATGTTCTAGACACTAAAGATTATTTCATCTCTAATCCATCTTTTATGTCTTGGGATCCCTTGAAGCTCTTCTACTTCATGTTCTGTATTCTAAGGGCCCTTATAGCTCTATTATCTTACATTCTCTGTTTTAAGGTCTCTTGTAGCTATGACATTCTATATTCTTTTTATCATTCCCTATCAGAACTAACATTCTGTGATAGATTGCTAGGTAGGTCGATAAATATATGTACATACATACATATATACATACATACATACACAGAGAGGTAGAGGAGCATTTATTAAGTACTTAATATGTGTTAGGCACTGTGCTAAATTATGGGGATACAAATATCAGCAAACAAAGCAGTCCCTGCCCTCTAGGAGCTTATATTCTAACAGGGGAAAACATTTAAAAGGATGCTGCTAGAAAGCAAAAGGGAGGTGTTTGCAAGGTATGGTGAGCCAAGAAGTGGTCCAGAGGCTTGATCTCCTCACAGCAAAGGAAAAGCTCATCTACTAGAACCAGAGGATCCAGGGATAGAGTCCAAGGTTCTGATGGGAGGGAGATGCTCAGTGTTCTCAAGTACTTTGTTGTACGTGTTAACAATAGACATTCCCCAACAGCCAAAAGACCCTAAGGATCTTCCCCTCCCAGATTTTTTTAACTAGGAAACAGAGGCCATCCTTAGCCTCATTTCTTACCTAGCCTTAATCACTGAATGGGCGTTTTCTCAGTCAAACTGACTTTAATTTAAAAAGGCCAAGGTCTTCCACTGCATCTGGGGCCATCTCTGGTCCTCCTGATCTCTATCTTGCCACTGGACCCAGATGGCTCCAGACTGGTCACTCTGCACAGCCCTCCCTCACTTAAATACAATTCACTTGCAAGTCACGGCATCATCTTCCTAATGTCATGGTCCTCTTCAAGAATGAAGGACAAACAACAGTAAGGTCCCTTGCAACGCTGGCATTCTGTGCTCTATCTCAAGGTTCCTTTCGGCACTAACATTTGATGTTCTAGGTGCTCTAATGTTTGAGGACTCATGGTCCAGGGCTGTATAGTTTGCTCCCTCTAGTGGTCTGTTAGAAGCATCATGACTTGCCCGTAAGCCAGGATGTGTCTTATTGAATCAGATTTGAGCTTGGCATGGTCCCTTTAGTCAAGAGTACTTCTGTACAGGACATGACAGCAGGCCCAGGGCTAAGTTTTGATGGGTGCATTAGGCAAACCCAAGCTAAGGTGGATGGCTTCAGCCTTTTCTAAGATATAAAGTTCCTGTTAAAAGGGCAAGTTTGACTTTTACAGAGGTGAGAGTGTCACACTGGATTTCTTTATTCTTTAAGCTTTTCAAGGGTACTCTGAAATCAGTGAGGGCACATGAGGAAGCCGTGTCCCCTCACTAAGTCTCAATGTCCTCATAATAATAACAGCTCTAGTCCGAGCATCACTTCTAGGTCTATAGTGTTCTCCTCCTAGGACAAGTGTTATTGTTTCTATTTTACAGATAAGAAAACAGGAGCTGGGGGTGGGGAGGGCTGGTTAAACAACCTCTTAATGGTCACCCAATTAATACCAAAGCCTGAGTTCAAATCCCATTGTTTCCACTGCTTGTTTTATTCTACCAAGCCATAGTAATTCACCATGGATAAAAAGAAGACTTCTCTGGTCCATTCAAATCAACCAATGTGTGAAAGATCTCACGGGCAGTGCTAGGGATACTGAAATGAAAAACAACAGTCTTTGACCTAAGGAGCTTATAATATAATTGGTGGGGAGAGGACAGAGGAATGCAACAGAAACACACAAAAAGGTATGATATCCAAGGAAAATGTGACAAGGGGAGAAAGGGAGATCCAGAGCAGCTAAATGCCCTGGGAATATTTGAGAAGCAAGAAATTGCTTTCCACTGGAGTAACCAGGGAAGGCAAAAAGATGAGGAGATACCAGACATGAGCCTTAAAGGAAAAGGATTTTACCAGGAGGTGAGGAGGGCATCTGTTTCAGGCATGAAGAAGAAGGATGGTATAAAAATGTGAAAGAAAAGAGAGGGAAAAGCCAGAGGGAAATGGTAACAAAAACAGCTGACTGAAGCATGAAAGAATGAATGAAAAAGAAATGAGGTTAGAAAGGGAGTTCAGATCTAGGGTATAGAAGGCCCTAACGTCAGGGTAAGGTGGTTGGTATTTTATCCCAGACGAAACCACAGAATGCTTTGAAGCATGGAGATGACATGGTCAGACCTGTATTTTAGGAATATCATTTTAGCAGCTGGGTGAAGGATGGATTGGAGAGGTCCAATGTGTCAGGAAAACCAATTAGAAGACTATTGTGATAGTCCAGGGAAAAAGTGATTGAGTTGGGAGAAGAATGAGTGGAAGGAAGAGGATGAAGACAAATAATGTTTCTGAGATAAATTCAACAGGACAGTTCCTTTTTAGGTCTCGAAATTAAATTCTATATTTCTGAGATTATATAGAGTAATATCTCTTAATGGAGCACTTATCTCCTTGTCACATTTTCCTCAGATATCATATTTTTGGTGTACCTGTTACATCATTCTGTCCTCTCCAGCTTAGTATTTCATTGTCAGAAAAATCATTATTAAAAGTAGAAATAATATGGGAGGTACAGGAGTACATAACAAGACAGAGATTGGTTCCTTGTTGCTCTTCAATGGGGAATTCTCTCCCCTCCTCCTCCTTTCCGCCTCCAGGATTGCAGCTCCTCAATTTTCTCAGACATGATGGTGTCCCTTCTTTGTCTATTCAGACTTCTTCCTAATGTTATGACCCATAAAGCTGCCTCCCTCACTCCTAGGTGATGAGGCCACTGAGTCTTAGGAGTGTGGCCATTCCTTCATATAAACTTGAGTCCTAGACCACTCAGGACAGGCCAACGCCCAAGATAGCAGAATTGTGTCCTCCTCAGCCTTAACCACCCCCTAACTAGTGCTAAGGGGACTAGAGTTCTTTCAGACTCTACTCTCAGAACATTTTCATTAAAAAATTGTTTCCAATGGTATTGTAAATGTAAAGTCTCTAATTCTCAATTGTTGCAAGAGGAATTGTCAGCATCTTCTATATACCTCAGGAGTAGATTCTGCCTTCGTCTCTTCTGCTCTTTGGAGTATAGACATTCAACCATTGAGCTAACACAACTTCCCCCAGCTATTCTATCATTTACATTTACTGTTTTTGGGGAGTGTCACTGGAAACAGGAGGTGGTGCACATGGAAGGAGATGGGGATAAAAAAAAATTCTCTCTTAGGTCCTTTCCAGCACTAATTCCAGCTATGTTGTATGTTTGAGTCCTTTTCCCATCTGTCATAATCACTATGGCTATGTTTAAAGTGCTTAACAACTTGCTAATGTGTTACTACCACCTAAATGAACCATTCCCACGCTCCAGCCAGGTCCATCTTCCTAATGACCCTGAAAATGTGGAGGGGGCCAATGATTCCAGTATATAGTTATGTATCTGAAATTTAAAGTACACACAAACTGAACATAAATCCTAAAACAGAAAACTAAATCAACTTAAGACATTATTGAAGATTTAGGGCAAAAACCATAGTTAATTACTGTTGTTGTAGTATCTCCACATACCTTTGTAGAACTTTGAACAAGAACTCATAGTGTAAGAAGAAAAAATAAATAAAAGTATCCCCACATGTATATAATGCTTGCAATTTATAAAGTGTTTTCCATATATAAAATCACAGTGTTATAGAGTTACAGATTATTAAAACTGAGAGGGAACTTAGATGTCACATTAAACCTCTTCATCTTATAGAAGAGGAAACTAAGGCTCAGTGTGAGAAAAGCCACAAGTTACTTTATCTTCTTTGAACATCACCACAACCCCATGCAGTAGGTAGTATGCTATAAAGGAAAGAGCAGGCTTTGTAGGCAGAGATCTGGTTTCAAATCCTGCTTTCTCCATTAATTGTGATGCAAACTCATGGTGTGAGGGCAGCAAGGTGGCGCAGTGGATAGAGTGCCAGGCCTGGAGTCAACAAGGCCTGAGTTCAAATCTGGCCTCAGATACTTACTAACTGTGTGACCCTGGGCAAGTCACTTAACCCTGTTTGCCTCAATTTCCTCATCTGTAAAATAAGCTGGAGAAAGAAATGGCAAACCATTCCAGTATCTTTGCCAAAAAAACCCCAAATGGGGTCACAAAGAATGACACAACTAGACAACAACAACAACAATAAACTTAGGGTAGGTACTAGGCCTTTCAGGGTCTCTGTTTCCTCATCTGTAAAATGAAGGGGTTGGCTTAGAAGACTTCTAAGGTCTCTCCCAGCTCCAATACTATGTGACTTTCTAATAATGCAACCACTATTCTCTCTACTTGTCAGGTGAGAAATCTAGAAGTTAAGTCAAATAAGTTGCCCAAGGTCACACGGCCAGACCTCAGATGCAGGACTCCAAACTTCAAGTCCAGCACTCTCTCCATTGTGTCACATAATCACTCAAATAGAAAGAAATCTACTTCTTTCTCTCTCAAATTTTCTTTGAAGTGGAAAGGAAAGCCACAGATTCATGTGTGTGGTGTGTGTGTGTGTGTATGTGTGTATCTGTGTATGAGTGTGTATATATGTGCATATATGTATAGGTATGTATACATACACACATGTGTATGTGTATGTATATGTATGTATAGACAGATAGATATAAATACAGGTATAGGTATGTATGTATGTTTATTTCTGCTCCACGACCTGGCCACACCACACACCTAGTTTCAAGGGCAGGACCCAGCCCTGTGCAGTATAGGACAAAACAGGCCCTTACCTTTTTCTGCTCCATCCTGATCATGCTTTTCCAAGAGCAGATAATGTGGACTCTCTGGCAGAAAAGGGAGAATCACAAGTTGGACAAAGGCAGGAATGACGATCACACCGAACAAGTAAGGCCATAGTGACTCCTTCAAACAGAACACAAAGATGTTAGTGAGGCTTTTTCTTTGGTGATGAATCATTCTGAGTGAGGCAAACTGTGATACCTATTAGCACTGAGGGATAAACACTATCACTTTCTTGGACAAGTTGCCATGACTGCCATGTTGCCCCACCTCCCCCACTTCACCCAACCCCAGCAAAGAGCAGTCCATGTTCTATAATGTATTTCTTAACCTTTCTTGATCACAGTTTCTTCATCTGTACAATGGGTATAATAATTATAACTCACATTTACATAGCACTTTAAGTATTACAATGCACTTTCCTCCCACTTCTGGGAGGTTGGTAACACAAGTTTCTATCCCTATTTTACAAATGAGGATACTGCTGTCTTAAGACATGAAGTGTTCTATCCATGGTCACAGAGAGTACGTGACAGAGTCAGGTCTTGAACTCAAATTGTTTGACTATAAACCTATTATTCAATTTAATATACTGCACTATCTTCAGATAAGAAATGCAATATACAGAATTCATCTTTACCAAGAGAAAAACTCTGTTCTAGGTGACAGGCAAACCTGTCTCTTGTAATTGACTTAATCCTCCGTCATATTTTGCCAATGTAAACCTGACCTCAAAGTCACTTAGTATCAGGTTCACATCTCTCAAGTTCCTACACATGTGAATTAGCATGTAGCTGCAACTAGAGTAGATTATGGGGAGTGAAGTAGGAAGAATTCTTCCCAGTTGAATACTGCTTTTGACTTTGGAACAAATTCTGTGAAGTTTGGATTCAGTCAAAGGGCCACACTTGAGGACCTAGAGGGCCACATGTGGTCTCGAGGATGTAGGTTCCCCACCCCGGTCTAGAGCACTTGACTCAGAGATGGGAAGACCTAAATTCAAATCCTGCAGATGCCTCCCTTCTATGGCCCTCTTCTCTGATTAGTGAGTTCTTGCCTTAGACAACCATGTAAGGAGGTCCCCGGCCGCCCACTTCTCTCTCACCTCTGCTCTTGACTTTTGACATTTCCACCTCTGCACCACAGAAGAAGAGGGCAGGTGGAGTAAGGCTTGAGGAAAGGCCATTGGATTTAGCAGTTACAATACGGGATGCCTCTGCCTTCCATTGACTATGATGTGGATGCTCAGAATAAAGGTATCTCAATTCCTCCATGAAGCCTTCCCTGACTCTAGAGATACATGTTGATCTCTATTTCAATGATCTTAGGGATTCCAACTTCTTATCTAGAAATGTCCAATTTAACACATTAAGCAGAAAGCATTTTCAAGATTTGAAAGGGAAACTAGAACCTATGACATCGAATGTCAGGATTGGGATGGACCTTAAAACACACGCAAAAAAATTAGTCCTTTAGTCTAAACATAATGTCTTTAGGATTCTGTCTGTCTCATGTGTGAATATGCATATTGTCTCCCCATAAGGTATTTGGACTCAAGGCCAAAAACTATGCCTGGTGAGGAGAAGGTCTAATAATTCCTCCCCTTTACAAATTGCTTCCCTCAGAACACCTTTCCAGCCTCATCTCATCTTATTTTGCTCTAGCTCTTCTCAGTTTCTCTCTGTCCTGGGATGAGGCATGTGTTCTTCCCTCCTCTAGGTCTTTGTTCAGGATGTTTTCTATGCCAATGATGACCTTCCTCCTCATTTCTGCATGTTAACTCTCTACCTTTCCTTTAAAGCCCAATTCACATGCCATCTCCTAGCTGAAGCCTTCTCTGGTCACCTGGTCACCAGCAGGAACAACTCCTCCCCCTCAAACTCCACAAAGCACATGATCTTGTACTTCTCTACTTAGCATGTGTTATAGTCATCTAAGTTTTTGTCTTATGCCAATATTAGACTCTAAGCTCTTTGATATACACGTATACATGTATGTGTGTGTGTGTGTATGTGTGTGTGTGTGTGTGGTCTAACTAGTTTCTCTCCCAGTGTCTAGCAAAGTATACTGTTATATGAATGAATGAGGTAGGGTGTTTCAAAAGCCTTAGTACAGCTTTAAGCTTTTAAAATCTACACTAAGACTTTTGGAACATCCTATATATTGAATGGAAAATAAACAAGACCTGGGTTCTGATCTTAGTCTGATCATTAGTTAAATCTGATGTGATTCATTTTTCCTTCTCCAGGTCTCAGTTTCCTTCTCTGTAAAATAAAAAGCTTGTACTAAGTGGAAGAGACTATAAAGTCCTTCTTACTCTAGCATTTAATGGTTCTGTGGTCCTTCTTTATTATACCTCACTTTCCCCAGCATGGTGTTTGACACCTATTGCTTGCTGAGTGAAACAGAACTACTGTTAGATTTTGAATCCAAAGGTACAGGTTCAAATGCTAACTTTCTTGCACTCTACCTGTGACCTTGCATAATCTATTTACGCCACAGGGGGCTTAATTTTCCTCATCTGTAAAACAAAGGGACGGGACCAATTCCTTAAAATGCCTTCCAGCTCTTATATTTTCTGGTCTATTATTCCACAACCTATATTTCTTGATTAGAGTTAGGACCTGGAAAATGACCTTTAGTCAGCAGATAGGACTGAAAAGGTACAAACAATCTATTGTCTAAGGAAGATCAATGAAGCCTCCAGGGTCTGTGATGAAACCCAAGAAGACTGCATTTGAACAGCCCTTAATGATCTGCTGTGAAGCTACTGCTTACTGATTTTACTCCCAACAGGCCCCCCTGGCCACTGACCCTGGAAGTGGAAGACAGACATTTGATGACAACAAACAGAAAACATTTATTCCATGTCTACTCTCTCCAAGCCCCTGTGCTAAGTTCTAGGAGGGATTTGGAGGAGGGTAAATAGATGTATAGGAAACATTCATAAAGTTAGAGATGAAACAGACCGTCAAAGATCATCTCTTTCAACGATTATGCTTGTATAGGCAAAGAAACTGAGACCCAGTTAATTAAGGGCAGAGCCAGCCTTAGTACCTGGGTCTTCTGCCTGCCAGTCTCATGTTCTTTGAGACTCACCTACCCTATCAACAAATGAGATGTCTATAAAGTGCTTTGTAAACTCTAAGTATGGTTACAAATAAGCTATTATGTTTAATAATGTCCTTATGCTGTTTCTTTTACAGTAGGGAATATTGAATGGAAACAGTTACAATACAAAATATACCGTGATATGTGTACAGGATAGGCATATGTAATATGAAAGTTCCATAATGGGAAGAGTTTTGAACTTGGAATCAGGAGACTTGGGTTTGAAGTCTGGTTCTGCCATTTGACTAGCTTTGCAACTTTGGGCAGAAGTTTTATCTCTTGATCCTCAATTTCCATGCCTATAAAATGGGAACACTAATACTTGAGCTACTTATCTCACATGTTGTTTGGAGGCACAAATGAAATGTTGTATATAAAACACCGTAACTGTAAGGCATTGAGTTAATGTAATGTAAACTCTTGTTTTTATCATCAAAAAGCTTAAAATTGAGGGGATAAGAAATAAGCAAATAACTATAAAATACAATGGATTATGGACCATAGATTTTAACTGAAAGGGATCTTGGAGATTATCAAGCTCAATCCCTTTATTTTCCTGATGATGAAACAAATTACATAGAGGAGTTTTAAAGTTTTCTAGGACAATTCCAAACGACTCATATGGAAAATGCTTTCCACCTTCAGAGAAAGAACTGATGGAGTCTGAATGCAGATCGAAGCATTATTTTTTAACTTTTTTTCTTGAGGATTTTCTTTTTTTTTCTTTCTTTCTTTGTTCCTTCCTTCTCTTTCTTTCTTTCTTTTTTTTTTTTTTTTTTTTGGCCTATGCTCTCTTTTGCAGCATGGCTAATATAAAATATTTGGCATGACTGTACATGTATAATCTACATTTAAGTGCATGCCTTCTCAATGAAGGGGGAGGGAAGGGAGAAATTTAGAACTAAAAAATTATTTTAAAATGAATATTAAAATTGTTTTTACATGTAATTGAGATAAAATAAAAAACATCCTTTAAAAAAATAAAGTGCTCTAAGAATTCTGAGGGAGGAAAGATCATTTCCTATGCTAGGGATCAAAGAAGATTTCGTGGAAGAGGTTTCTTTCAAGCTGGGCCTTAGAGGATTGGCCGGAATTCAACAGGAGGCAATGGAGATAAGTGGTATTTCAGGCTTAGGATATGGGGTGAACAAAGACATACAGGTTGGGAAGTGCAGGCCACATAGAGAGTGATGGTAGTCATTCAGCTTGGCTGGGACATGTTACAGTATACGGAGAAAAGTGCAAGATAAAAACTGTAAAGGTAGTTTGGTTCATGTGGTTGAAGCCCTTGAATGAGAGGCTAAAAAATACTTAAACTAGGGGAAGCTAGGTGGCGTAGTGTATAGAGCACTGGCCCTGAAGTCAGGAAGACCTGAGTTCAAATCCAGCCTCAGACCAAACATTTGACACTTCCTTGCTATGTGACCCTGGGCAAGTCACTTAACCCCAATTGCTTAACTAAAAAAAAAAAACAAAAAACTTGAACTTGATTCTGTTCACAACATTATCTGGGTCATTGTTTATCTGTAACAGTGCAGATAATTGAAAGATGACTAGATATTTCTCAGTTGGAACAGTGGGAGTGTCACAGGCTGGTGGGTCCTAATTACTTTTGTAAGATGGCTTAACTTCTCTGCTGGGTGTAAAGTACAAGTCTCGTTCTTAAAGATAAACTAAAGAACATCATTTTAATTCACTTCTTGCAATGTCCTTCATGCGCAATGCAGTTTTAAATATTGTAATAAAACCCTATGATTATAAAAATTGAGGCATTGTTCTTCCTGATCCACTTTCTATAAGAATTACAAATAAGTGAGCTGTGGGGGCTGTCTACAGAGATTTTCAATTACAAGGGAGTAGGGAGAGGGAGAAGGCAGGGAGAGAAAAGATCAAAAACAAATAATTCAAGACAAAAAACTCTTGACACATTTTGTCTTTTAAGTATAAGGAGAAGATGCCAAAGAAAAAATCAGATATATTTAACTAAATGGCATTATATAAATTGGAACTTC